AGCCACATGTCTGGTCTGCATTACATTACAGCCACATGTCTGGTCTGCATTACATTACAGCCACATGTCTGGTCTGCATTACATTACAGCCACATGTCTGGTCTGCATTACATTACAGCCACATGTCTGCATGGTCTGCATTACATTACAGCCACATGTCTGGTCTGCATTACATTACAGCCACATGTCTGGTCTGCATTACATTACAGCCACATGTCTGGTCTGCATTACATTACAGCCACATGTCTGGTCTGTATTACATTACAGCCACATGTCTGCATGGTCTGCATTCTTCCCACACAATTGAGGAAGACCAAATAACAGGCTGAGTACCAGGATAGGGGCTCCGCTAATGCAGGGGAAACTCGTCGAAACAAACAGGTTCTGATAGGAAAACCAGAGCAACGAAAGTTAAATATTCAGAGTTCTGCGGAGCGGGCCAACTTATGAGCAGAATTCAGAAGCAATACCGGGAAATATGGGTTTGAATTCTGGGGATCGTTGCATTGTGATTGGAATTTAATGACACACCCAATTAGCAGAACGTCGAGGATTATTGCATGGATGTTTAACGTAAATGAACTATTGTCTGACTTGCAATTACAATTGTAATTGCATGCTGGTCTGATAGAAACCCAAATCCCTTGTGGAAAGTTAAATTCAGCTTTATAAATTTTTCACGGCCGCATGCAATCATTCAATTTTTGAGATGGGATTGTGAGAAGAACGTCTCATTTGTTCCATGACGCCAAATAAACGCTAGCATGTGCCAGTGTTTCAAAAGATTTATTCGAAACACAACATAAAGTTTTTGTGTGCGTTCTGTTTGTTCCATCGAACAGTGACGCTTGAAGTTCCTCTTATTTGTACAACCAAATGCAGAGATGACGATCAGTCGCGCTTACAGAGCTGACATTGTGCCTGCTGCTGCTTGCTTTATACGGACAGTGTCATCATTACAAGCATTGACAATGTCATCGATGCCCCTGTAACACCTGACAGTGTCATTAATTCATTCATGCGTCAGTGTCATCACAGACACTTATCAGGATAGCTCACACTGAGTATCAAATACGAGTTAGGAAGCTGCCATGGCGTACATGCAGTAAGTACTGACGTTAGCGCTGTAGCTTTGTCAACTGATACTTCCATAGACGCTGTCGCCGCCTTGATTGCAGCCTCTCTTACAGCTTCGCATACACTAACATTTCAGCAATCACTTGCACCATACACCGACGGGATACAACTTACAAGATTACTGGACTATCACAATCACGATGTACCGCGACGTTGTTTACGTAGGTGGGTACCCGTAATTTCGACTTGCACACACCAACAGTTCTAGTGCACAGACTTGTAATGTGCAGTGACTGCCTTCACGTGCCGCTCACCTGCAGATGTGCTGACTGATGTGCTGACTAGTGTGCTGACTGACGAGTTGACTGATGTGCTGACTGGCGAGTTGACTGATGTGCTGACTGGCGAGTTGACTGATGTGCTGACTAGAGTAATTACTGTCGAGATTTAAAAGCTATTTAAACAGTTATTCGCGTAAAGGAAGACGTCGTTAAATTAAGATAATCTATGTTTAACTAGCTTGAGAATGGCATTAACTCTGAAAGACAGGTGGTTGTTGGTTTTAATTTTTGGAATAGCGTATGCGTAAATAAGCGTTTGGTCAGAGAGTGACACATACGAAAAATAACTGCAAAAAAGGAACCGAAGGGAACGAAAATATATGAATAAATATAGCTCTCTGAGCAATAAGAAAATAAAAGCAAAAAAAAATTAAATTCACATTTTCCTCTTCTATGAGGTACAGAAATTTTCACAAGTGTTTTATTGATTCGAGTATTTTCGACTTCCTCAGTCACATCTCCTTTCAATAAAGCAAGAACACACAAAAATTTGAAATTCACGCAGCTTCAGTACAAGGATAGTTCCTAAGGAACAAATATTGATTCTAGATAGTTAATTAATTTTGCGGTATTATTGCAGATTAACTACATCCAAAAAAAGGGTGTTTTTTTTTTAATTATATGTTTTTTGGGGTGTAGATTACGAATCTGAAATCCATTTTTGGCGGTCGGCATCGGAAAACCGATTTTTTAAAAAAATCGGTTTTCCGATGCCGACCGCCAAAAATGGATTTCAGATTCGTAATCTACACCCCAAAAAACATATAATTAAAAAAAACACCCTTTTTTTTGGATGTAGTTAATCTGCAATAATACCAATTTTGCTATCCTTGCATAGCTAACTGTTTTTTCATCTCAGTATCAGAACGCACATGTATACATGTACTCAACAATACACGCTTGCCGCTGCTATCAAATTATTGCTCATCTAACATCGTTATAAATGAACAGACTCCATTCTGGTGAAGCAATTTGCAGTGAATACTTGAATCATGTAGAGAATTAAGTGCCTCTATGAGTCTATCAAACAAACGGAAATTCTCGTGACAGTAGTCAACCGGCATGTCAGACGCAAAACAAACACGGCACTCATGGCAGCGAACAACCTCACTCAGACACCGACATCATCTAACTGACGATGTTTTTTTCAGCGAAGTTTTTACTCAGCTGCGACCGACGCGCCACCTGTCATCGTCTGGTTGCCGGCTGTATGATGACAGTAACGATGCATGGGAATTGTTAGGCTCAATAGTGATGAATTCTCTTTAATCGTGTATGATGATTATTCATGATCGTTTGTATTAACCTTTTGTGTTTGTTTTCTGTCAATCAGGTGTTTATATTAGTGCTATTCTCTTGTTTTTTGTCGGATCGCAAGTACTTGTATACAACATAGGATTCGCGTTAACATTCTGCATTGACCACGTAAGCGCACAGTCATTCAACGTAGGCAAATAAAACGTTAACAATTGAAGGTATGAATTCCATTCAATTTTAATTTGAGTTGCGAACAATAATTATAACAACGGTCAAACTTCGTTGACGTGCCTGACAGGGCGGGAAACTAAACCCGTCCTAGCTCATCTGCCAGCGTCCTGCCCTATCTGCACCGGATACTAAGCGATGCACGTAACAAATCTCAGTCAGAAACTAATTACGATGAAGAAAGAAGACGTACATGAAATATTTGCTAACTTGCATTATGTTGAAAATTTTGGATTGAGTAGCATGACGGTGCAAACTGGAACCTGCAACCAAATGACACCTCGTGAACTTTTGTGGGCTGATACAAAGCTAATAGTACAGAACTAATACAAAAATCAGCTCCTAAATCAAAGGCCTGCAGTCTGTTCATAGATGTGCAAAAGGGTAAAGGTGGTACGCAATATTGAAGAGCTCTTAACAATGCATCTCCCTCTCTCATACCACAATTATTGTATACTCATCAACTATATGAAGTGACGTATGAAAATATTCAACATCAAATTGCCATTATTATCATCACCACGAGCCATGTGAGAGGGATGGTGGGCGGGGTAGGTGTGTTCAGCAAGTATTGGGTAGACAGGGTAAGTTCATCGCTCTTACCTCTATTGCAAGGCTGCCGCTGAAAGGCTCTTCGTGCTTCACCGAAAATGTGGGTGATGTCATTGTGCTGACTCTGATCATGCAGATACAGGTGTATGGCCTGTCTCTTATACACATCTAGATGTGTATAAGAGACAGCTTAACTACCATTCTTCAATAGACTCATAGCGTAGTGCGGCACTATAAAGTACTCTAACAGCGAAGTAGCACTTCAAAGTCTTTCTGCATACGAATCAGTAGTGCGACACTAAGTGACACTAAACATTGTAGAGCTACTTCGAAGTGCTTAGTGTCTGTGACGTATTTAGCATACCAACAGGACACTTCGTAGTGCATAGTGCTACTTCGTAGTGCTAGTGCCCTATTTAGCATACGGGCCACTGACGCGAGGGCATCGGAATGCAAACAAATCCAGAATGTAAACGAGTTTCTGATTGCCAGTAAGTTGATCATCATTGTTTTGATAATGTAATTTAGAAAATTCTTGCGGACGCAATTTTTAATGATGCAAAAATTGGTGTAATTACGCAACACGTAAATTAATGCGGGTTAAGGGAATTTACGTGTACTTAGCGTATTTTGATAATCCAGCTCCAGTACATCTGACGAGGCATAAGGCAGCTGACGAAAAACGAGACGCCCCAGTGACAGCTGATGTCAGATGAAGCATTCACCAGGTAGCGAAAATCAGAAGAAACCACTTAATGCAGGCGAGACATCACCTCGCTCAGCTGGCGTCAGACGAAACGTCAACAAGTTAGCTAACGTCAGCGAGGTTTCTCAAAGCTACTATAAACGTCAGACGAGACATCTATGTTGCTCTTGAAGTCAGCAAAGGCGTCTATATTGTTGCTGACGTCGGACTAGGCGTCACTAACGCTACCAAAAACAGACGCGATCTAAGCATGACGATACGTTAGCGTTACTGGCGTCAAAAGAAACGTCTAAAGCTACCGACGTCTAACGCAGCCTACCCAATATAGCTGGCGCCAGCAAAAGTGTTTTAACGATGGATTGTATCAAACAACGCTCAGCTAGTTGATGAACAAACAAATATTTTTGGGAGCAAGGAAGAAGACACAATAACATTTTTAAAGTCACTTTAGTTGGAATTATTTACTGTTCAACCCATTTGAAAGCGAGTTCAAACAACCTTCCAACCCCATGTGTATTGAAATGTAAAAAATTTTCTATCTAATCCTCGCATTGGCTTTACAAGAGATTAGGCTGAACGTGCGGTATCAGTTATTGATTTTACTTGTAATTCTGGAGCTGGCTGTGGTGATACCGTGAGAATGTGTTCACTAATTTTGTTGTCATTTGTTGTTGACAATATTTATTGATGGCAACTAATCAATTCTAATACCCGCAGTTAACTAATTATTGAATCGCTGTTAGGTAATGTCGCTACATTGGAGCTGTCCGAGCGCATATCTAATGCCTATCGAGTTAGCAGATTACTTGGACCGGATTTTGGATTCATGGATGGAGAATAGCAACTACGGGCAACATGCAGTGAGGAGGGCCCTCTCAGAAAAATCCACGGGTACTGTCAGAACAGTGATACATTTTCTTACTTTCTGCGCGAGCTGTTAGTGGCGTAGCACTGATATCTGTCATTCTGCAGGATCAAACCCAAAACCCTGACCCAAAATGGGTCAGGATAAAACACATTGGGGCAAAAAGTCAAAAAGTGTATCGCCGCTTGAAGAAAATCTCACTTATTTATTTGAGTGTTGAATTAAAATTTAAATACGAAGTTCAATTGTTATATGAGAATTATACATAACAATAGGAAATTAATTTTTTATCAGGAGTAAAATGAAGTTCTATATGTTAATGGAGGTAAAAAATTCTTCATTTGAATAACATAAAGAGATATTCGCTTTAGCGGGATTCTCAAATCAAATTTATTAGTGTAATTGCTTCATATAAATTATACGAAAAATTTCAAATGATGTTGCCACTTTCGCTAATAATAGCGTTGACTCTCTTAATACTAATGGTGTTAGCACTCCTGTTAAAATTGTCAATGCAATTGTTGCTAATGGTGTTGCTACTTTAGCTACCTATTATGTTGCCATTATTGAGGCATACGTGTGTTCACTGATTGTGTTGATTGTGTTTCTTACTAGTCACTAACTCTACGTCATAGTTGTAATATAACTGTGTTGCCTCTGTAGGCATTTATACCACAGCATACACTGGAGAAGGCACATATTTGAGAACCATACGAACAGAACGGCGTTTCTGGGTGCGAAGTCTAAATTAGAAGTTAAATCAAAAGCAACTGATTAACTATAATAATGCTCAGCACGTATATTAAGTTGAAATAACGCTGATTAAACGACATTTAAATGAAATCAGCTAGTAATCAATGTAGTGTCAATGTTATTTGCCTGAAGAGAATGGACTAGTGGAATGGGGTGGGCGCCAGACATGATCACATGGCTACGTGTAATGGCTTACTTAGTAAGCCATCACATGGCTACGTGTAATGGCTGACTTAGTAAGCCATCACATGGCTTCGTGTGCTGGCTGACTTAGTAAGCCATCACATGGCTATGTGTAATGGCTTACTTAGTAAGCCATCGCATGGCTACGTGTAATGGCTGACTTAGTAAGCCATCACAAGGCTACGTGTGCTAGCAAACTTAGTAAGCCATCACAAGGCTACGTGTGCTAGCTGACTTAGTAAGCCATCACAAGGCTACGTGTGCTAGCTGACTTAGTAAGCCATCACAAGGCTACGTGTGATGGCTGACTTAGTAAGCCATGTCGGAGAGAAAGTGTGTCACTATTTGGAAAACATTACCCATTCGTTTTCCGGGGTGTTGTCAGCCTCAACTGTTAAATAGTTTCGGATGACTGGAGCCACACAAGTTCCATGTATGCTTTATTTAAGCGTTTTGTATTATTGACCTGGCATTTAATGGAACAGATGTTTAAGCTTGACATTATACAGGATAATACATGTATCTTGTTTAACCAAGCAGAGAGTGGCAACTCATTTTTGCTTGGATGATCAGGTTCATTTTCGGCCCCACAAAATAGATGGACACTTTGCTGCACTGTCGATGTATATGATCGAGATGAATTGCAAACGTTGACTTTATTAATATTTTCGAATTTATGTGTTTAATTTTTAAAATGAATCAGCAATGATATAGTTTACTGTTGATACTGATAAGTTCTAAATCGTAGCATGATTTTAATTGGGCTCGGGTAGCGCGAGCAGCGTTGAGGTCAGTCGAGCGTGAGACGTCGTCGTGTGCGCTGTGCGTCGCTGATCGAGGCTAGCTTTCCTGACTCGGTTTACAATTTTACATATTGTATTAATGTCATTGTTTTGCTTCGAAATTTTTTATCATTGAACATTCACGATATTCAATTGTGGAATTTGTGATATATTTTCAGATATTTTCAACAATTATTTGCCAAGTCAAAAACAATAAAAGGGTAAGAGTATAATATTATTCTTATATGTTGATCGAGCCTTACATACCTTCGCGATGAATTATTTATATTTTGATTTAAATTTCTGAACATAGTTTTTGCAACAAAAAATGAATGAGATTCTTAATAATATTCTACCGCTAAGTCCCTGGATATTTATCAACTGCACAGTTTATAAAGCTCGCTGCCGATGATGGTCTCAAAAGATGAAACTTAGACTGTAAATTTTATAATTTTTACTGAAATTCATGTAGATTGATATACTTGATTCTCATAAACACAAGTATTTTAAAAGATTTTGCCTCTGTATTTGAAAAGTAAATGAAATATTGGCATCAAACCACGTAGAGTTTTTAACGTTGCCAAATCTCGTTGATTTGGCAAAGCAAAAACAAATGTTGCGTGGGAAATGGCGCGGAATTGTGCCCATGGTCCATATGAATTTCATGATTTTCTTCTATATCATTACATACATCATTAATTTCCATTACATCACATACATCATTATTTTCTTTAGCATTACATACATCATTAATTTCATTAGCATCTCATGGTCTGTAGTTCTTTCGTTAACTTGGTGCTGTGTGCCGATGATTCTTCCGTGTGTCGATGCTTCATATAATCATGCAAAGGCACTCTAAAAAATTCCGGTGAAAAATCATGCTTGGCTTGCTATAAATTGATGTTTACTTTTTTATATGCAGCTTATCTAAACAATAATTGCGAAAAGTGCAACAGTAGCAAATGTTGAAGATTTTATTTTATTTAGTTAAATCAGACATTATAGCCTTTTGTAGTGGAATAGTTTGATTATTAATCAGTTTGAGAGTGAACTGCCTATAACCAATGAAGGCCAATGATAATAAAAGTGTTACTGATGGACTAAACGAGATATTATCAATTCTGAAGATAGGTTAGAGTAACATTGATATCAACAAATGATATATAAAAAAATTATTTACACGGATGAAACGAATGCCATGGGTGCGGTGTCAGACAAAGCAAAGAATAGGAACTTTGAGGCAGAAAAGGCTTTGAGGCGGCACAGAAGAGCCGCGCGTCTCATGATGAAGACGGTGATGGTGGTGGTGGTGATCGCCGCCGTGGGTTGTACGTCTGCCGCCACCGTGGACGCGCCGCTGGAGGACAAGGACAGCGTGCTTGGTAAGTCTCACGGCCTAGTACATTTTGCCGTATACCAGAGAGGTAGGAAAATTAATTTGGCGATGTATAAATAAATAATTCATTGAAAAGTAGTGCGCAGGATGAGAGAATTAATCGTCCTGTCTTGGTCAATAATTTTTGAAATTATATTGCCTAAATATTTTGATGAACGTTTGCATAGACACGAATCGTTTTTTTTCGAAATTAGATATGAAATATAGAAGGAGGTAAATACGAATAGAATTTTGTTTCAGTGTATAAAGGTTTTTGAACTAATGTGGTGCTTGTGTTGAGTTTGAATGTAGTTTTTATGCAATAAATAAGCGATGATTTATTTCAATGTGCACGAGAGAAAATCTGTGTAATAAAAATAGTAATAATTTTTCCGTTTAAATAATATGGAAATCGAATTGGTTGCAAGTAAAGGCTAATTCAATACGAGAGTAAACAGCTTTTAAATGTAGGTAATGAAAAAATGGTTTTAAAAAAAGCATGTAATTCCAACTTATTTAGTATCGATATGAACATTCATCATCAAACCTGGACTATGACGTAGCTAAGCTTGTAATTTGCATACCATGTAAATTCTTGAAGTTACTGGGATGTTTGACAAGACGATTGCAAGATTTAAGGATGAGTCTATAATGAATGGCCGCTCCACAAAGGCACATGTAGGCGTAAGTGAGTACAGAATTCTTTTTTTGTTTCCATCAGTAAATATAATTAGTCGATTTCGTTGTTCAACTTGAACAAGAATATACATGAGAGAGTGCAGGAACAATGCGTCTAAAAATTTTAAATCTTGTCCAAACGGAGCAGAGGTTTGATGAGAAGCTAATTTTAACATAATTATAATGAAATTTTGTAAAAGTTAGCGAAAGTAACCAACCGCAAAGACTATAGTTTTTTTTTCATTTCCAAACATGCGGATGCCTGATAATTATTCCTCTTTCCTTGTTATGAGTGAAAATAAGATCTCGAACGCATTGGAACAACTCGTACACTATAAGAATCTTGACATCAACGATGGAGTGAGAAGCATTATTTTTCATTTTAAGCTCTTCATTATGGATTAAAAACATCAAAATTGCATTCTTTGCCTGATAAAAATAAATGTAAAAGTTACGTATAAGTTTTGCGTCTTCTTCACATTTCACAGCTGATTTTTTTTCAGTACAACTTTACAGCAGTCAGTTTCATCCATAACGCTTTTGAAGATGAGTTACGGAAAGCTTTTCATTGATAAATGTATTATATCGAATATTATCATTATTATCTCTGATATTGTCCACTACGATTCTATGGTAATTAATAAAACAGCTTTTCTTCACCATCAGCAGCTTTGTCAATTCAGAGCATCCTAATAATTAATAATTGGACGAAATAAATGTTAGCACCAACTACAATAGCGTCCAGGTCGACAAAAATATTATCGTTGGAAGAGCAGGTTTTGAAAATATCGCTACTAATTGATAATTTGATAATTGATAACGAGATAATTTGCCACACGTTGCTTAAATCTGATTATATCTTCTCACGAGGACAGCACTGCTTTTAAAATGGACCGAGATGGTTATTATAGTAAGAGACTTAAAATTAGTTTAATTTATATGTACGGCGATAGTTATTAGCTCGTCGGAAAATTTTCTGCATTGTGCAATTACTAAATTTTTCGAATTAGTATTTTCCTAATCATAGGCTTTTTACTAACTCACGTGTCAACTGATAATCACTTTAATAATATTTAAAAAAAGAACAACAATAGAAATAGAAATAGACTATAAATAGAGAAATAAATAATCACAATAATAAAATGTAAATGCATAGACTAGAAATAATAATCCAAACTGAAATAAAGTATCCCACGGTACCTCGGCGCGGAGTACCGAGGGACACTTTACCTTAGTATTAAATTATCTAAATTATCTTGAAATTTCACTTTAGAATCTCATCTTTTAGTTGTTCTGCATTCAGTAGGGTTGCTAAGCTTGACTCAAATGTTTCCATAATGACTGTAACAAGATTTTCTGCATCAGGAAATACAAAATATTTCAAATTTTCTCTGCGACGCAAATATGATATTTCATATTCGTCCCATGTTTTTTATTAAGCCTACATAATATGTTTTTGGCTCAGCGAAATCAAATTCTAGTGGAAAGCTATCATGGAGCTTTGGTTCTTTTTGCCATGGTTTGAAAGATTAACTTAATTTGTAAGAATTTTTTTAACTTTTAAAGCTTCAACTTTAATACACACAGAATACTATTAAACTAAAATTTAATTTCATTACTACTGCATCAGGTAAACAATATATAAACATATGTATAATACGCCCACAATTACATGAAATATGCTAATGATAACCTTATAACACACGATAAGTGTATTGAAAACTTATTATACTCATCTAAGACTCATAATGCCATCTCATCCTAGTTATAGGACTTCTAAAGTCCCTGTTTAAAGCTACTTAAATAATGGTCTAATTTTTTCACGCTTGAATTGAAGTCACCGTGAAAAACAATTTAGTACACATGTATTTTTTTAATTGTCGGTCCGAAAAGGGTTTCTGAGAACAGGGAACGTACCATGTGCAAAACAGAAACTGAAATTAATGAATATATAGAAGGGAAAAATAAATTCTTAGAACCCAGGAAATAATGCGATGCCGATCTTCCGCAATATCCACTTGCTTAATTGAGTACGAAGTAAAGACTTTGACTCTCCTAGAGCGAATTAATTTAACACTGTAATTTGTCAGTAATTTTAAGTGAATAGTGCTCCTATAAATCAGAGCGCTCGCCAACTTATTACACCGCAGATTTCAGTCATAATTCTTTCATTATTGAATTATGATACACATATAATTTAAATAAATGTGAAAGCTTATTATGCGGCCGAATTACACCCATAACTGTTTGCATGATACACATATTACAAATGATACACTACATAATACACGGAAATTCTGCCGTTGTTTTCACGCAGCTGTGTACCTGGACCCAGCGCTGCTAGCAGGGCGGAGGGAAGAAGCTTTGGCCGCAATATCGGCGGCCATCGCTGACGCTCCCATGACGCTGGGATCAGTGAGGACCAGGTAACTGCTGATGTCAGGTAACCCTGCAGGCAATGCAGCGACATGCCTGGTAACTCTGCAGGCAATGCAGCGACATGCCAGGTAACTCTGCAGGCAATGCAGCGACATGCCAGGTAACTCTGCAGGCAATGCAGCGACATGCCAGGTAACTCTGCAGGTATCAACAACAAGAATTTAATCTGCAGAGGTTAGGCAGTGGATGGAAAATAGTGAAGATTTATTTGTTGCTGATCCGGTTGCGAACTCTCATGGAGCAATTGAATGTGTCTAAGTTAGTATCGAGACTTTTCAGAGCATCTCAATGACCAGTGTTCGGTGCTTGCAATGGGGGTCGTATTCGGTCGATACGTAACAGGAATTATTTAGCCCCTTTAGGAAATAGGATTTTGACGTAGAATGGATTTTTCAGCCGGGCATTTCTAAAATTAATTTTTGGACATTTCTAAAGCTATTTTGCAAACAGCGTTATTGTTGAACATGGAATAATATGTGATTATTATAACCTGTGGCAACAATAAGCTGCTTCCGAATATACCAAAAGAATGAATTATTCGGCTAGTTGCAAGTAATTAGAAGAACAACTGCTTGTGCATTTAACCAATTAGTTTGGGAGCCATCACAATAGTTTGTACTGTCGTCTGTACACGTTCAATCGTTCAATTACTTTGCGGGTGATATGCTGTTGTACGCAACCGTTGAAATCCACCTAGTGCAGAATGTTCAGAAAATAGTTCCGATGTGAGTTGCTTATCTGAATCTGTTACAACATTTAATGTAACATCAAAGCGAGAATTCCATATTCCAACGAAAGCTATGGCTACAGAACTTGCAATAATGTCAACTGCAGTAATGTCCAGCAATCTTTTCGCTCTATCAGTATATGTTAACACGTAACGGTTGGGACAAAGGAATATTTTATTTGTATGCACAGTATAGTTTACAAACATCGTGCACGTTATAAACGCGTCTCATAACCTCGTCACGGCTGTCAAGGCTTGACGCGCTCTACTACAGGTCATTGCCACTGATGAGGCATGTTGTCCACACAACAGGCTGGTGACTTCGCTAGGAGATGTGATGCCCGGCAACTCGCTTGTCATGCCGACACCGGGGTCTGGCAACACGTCGGTCGTGACGACTCCGGGAAAGGTGGGGTCTGGCAACACGTCGGCCATGCCAACACCGGGGTCTGGCAACACGTCAGCCATGCCAACACCGGGGTCTGGCAACACGTCGGCCATGCCAACACCAGGGTCTGGCAACACGTCGGCCATGCCAACACCGGGGTCTGGCAACACGTCGGCCGTGCCATCTCCGGGAGCGGCGGGGTCTGGCAACACGTCGGTCGTGCCGACGCCGGGGTCTGGCAACACGTCGGTCGTGCCGACGCCGGGGTCTGGCAACACGCCTGCGCCTGCCATGTCAACGCCGGGGTCTGGCAACACGTCGGCCATGCCAACACCGGGGTCTGGCAACACGACGGCCGTGTTGACGCTGGCGCAATGCGGCGAAACCCGTGTCTGGGCGGCAGCGTTGGCTGCGAGGGGCATTCTTCACATCGCTCTTACGCGTCAGTATTTGTGTCAAGAACATTTAATTGACTCCAAAATAAAAAAAATTCCTGGTATTAATACCAGATATTAATACCTTAATTAAAATGTTCACAAGTGAAATTCTGTTAATTTTAATAGACATGTCTTTTCTAACACAATTAATAATTAAACATTTCGCCTTCTAGCGACTCTCATCGTATAGAAGTATTTCCTTATATTCATACCCGTTTATAACAAATTATTTGCTCACTGCAATTGTTTGTATATTTAATGTCAGCTTCTGGGTGTGAGCGGCTGCAGTCGGCGACGGCGCTGACGCTGCCGCTGCTGGGGACGTCGCGAGGGCTGCAGCAGGCCCTCACTGACATGGTGCAGGCCGCCCTCATACCCCTCGCTGAAGTGACCCTCATCTCTGATGAGTCTGTGTGTGAGTAATGCGCGTGAGAGTGTGGCAGTAACGCATGAGTGTGGCAGTAACCCGTGGGTGTGGCAGTAACGTGTGAGTGTGGCAGTAACCCGTGGGTGTGGCAGTAACGTGTGAGTGTGGCAGTAACCCGTGAGTGTGGCAGTAACCCGTGGGTGTGGCAGTAACCCGTGAGTGTGGCAGTAACCCGTGGGTGTGGCAGTAACCCGNAACAAGAATTTAATCTGCAGAGGTTAGGCAGTGGATGGAAAATAGTGAAGATTTATTTGTTGCTGATCCGGTTGCGAACTCTCATGGAGCAATTGAATGTGTCTAAGTTAGTATCGAGACTTTTCAGAGCATCTCAATGACCAGTGTTCGGTGCTTGCAATGGGGGTCGTATTCGGTCGATACGTAACAGGAATTATTTAGCCCCTTTAGGAAATAGGATTTTGACGTAGAATGGATTTTTCAGCCGGGCATTTCTAAAATTAATTTTTGGACATTTCTAAAGCTATTTTGCAAACAGCGTTATTGTTGAACATGGAATAATATGTGATTATTATAACCTGTGGCAACAATAAGCTGCTTCCGAATATACCAAAAGAATGAATTATTCGGCTAGTTGCAAGTAATTAGAAGAACAACTGCTTGTGCATTTAACCAATTAGTTTGGGAGCCATCACAATAGTTTGTACTGTCGTCTGTACACGTTCAATCGTTCAATTACTTTGCGGGTGATATGCTGTTGTACGCAACCGTTGAAATCCACCTAGTGCAGAATGTTCAGAAAATAGTTCCGATGTGAGTTGCTTATCTGAATCTGTTACAACATTTAATGTAACATCAAAGCGAGAATTCCATATTCCAACGAAAGCTATGGCTACAGAACTTGCAATAATGTCAACTGCAGTAATGTCCAGCAATCTTTTCGCTCTATCAGTATATGTTAACACGTAACGGTTGGGACAAAGGAATATTTTATTTGTATGCACAGTATAGTTTACAAACATCGTGCACGTTATAAACGCGTCTCATAACCTCGTCACGGCTGTCAAGGCTTGACGCGCTCTACTACAGGTCATTGCCACTGATGAGGCATGTTGTCCACACAACAGGCTGGTGACTTCGCTAGGAGATGTGATGCCCGGCAACTCGCTTGTCATGCCGACACCGGGGTCTGGCAACACGTCGGTCGTGACGACTCCGGGAAAGGTGGGGTCTGGCAACACGTCGGCCATGCCAACACCGGGGTCTGGCAACACGTCAGCCATGCCAACACCGGGGTCTGGCAACACGTCGGCCATGCCAACACCAGGGTCTGGCAACACGTCGGCCATGCCAACACCGGGGTCTGGCAACACGTCGGCCGTGCCATCTCCGGGAGCGGCGGGGTCTGGCAACACGTCGGTCGTGCCGACGCCGGGGTCTGGCAACACGTCGGTCGTGCCGACGCCGGGGTCTGGCAACACGCCTGCGCCTGCCATGTCAACGCCGGGGTCTGGCAACACGTCGGCCATGCCAACACCGGGGTCTGGCAACACGACGGCCGTGTTGACGCTGGCGCAATGCGGCGAAACCCGTGTCTGGGCGGCAGCGTTGGCTGCGAGGGGCATTCTTCACATCGCTCTTACGCGTCAGTATTTGTGTCAAGAACATTTAATTGACTCCAAAATAAAAAAAATTCCTGGTATTAATACCAGATATTAATACCTTAATTAAAATGTTCACAAGTGAAATTCTGTTAATTTTAATAGACATGTCTTTTCTAACACAATTAATAATTAAACATTTCGCCTTCTAGCGACTCTCATCGTATAGAAGTATTTCCTTATATTCATACCCGTTTATAACAAATTATTTGCTCACTGCAATTGTTTGTATATTTAATGTCAGCTTCTGGGTGTGAGCGGCTGCAGTCGGCGACGGCGCTGACGCTGCCGCTGCTGGGGACGTCGCGAGGGCTGCAGCAGGCCCTCACTGACATGGTGCAGGCCGCCCTCATACCCCTCGCTGAAGTGACCCTCATCTCTGATGAGTCTGTGTGTGAGTAATGCGCGTGAGAGTGTGGCAGTAACGCATGAGTGTGGCAGTAACCCGTGGGTGTGGCAGTAACGTGTGAGTGTGGCAGTAACCCGTGGGTGTGGCAGTAACGTGTGAGTGTGGCAGTAACCCG